CATGCTGGAAGGAGGGATTTCTTCCTCAGCTGAGTGAGGCAGGCCAGGACGGTGATGCTTCCCCTTGTCCCCTGAGCCTGTCTGCATGTTTATTCCCACGGGGGAGCAACATCCTTCTTTTTTGAAGAGTCCAGCTGAAACCCAATCTTGTCGCACTTGTACTCCCTGAAAATTGATCCGCTAGGTTTAGCCACCTTTTCGGGAGAAAGAGGTTAAAAGTGAATCAAAAAGTTTAGAAAGTGTTCTAGGACAAAAGCCTAAACCAATTGAAAAAATGTGGTTTTTTTTCCTTATATAGATCTGGACCAGATAATAATCATCGGGGGGGGGGGGGGGTCTTCGGGGGTCTCAAAAACATTTCTTTGGAAGATAGAAGAAGAAGGGACGCTCTAGTCCTAGAAGGTTCGTGTTTCATTCCTGTCAGTCCCTCTTGCAGTCTCTGCCGGGTAGCGTCCATGCCCCCCCCCCCCCCTTCATGCCAAAGCTGGACGCTACTGCTCCCCATCAGGTGCTCCTCAGCGCCCCGGACTTCTTGGCATGTTCACGCCAGGAAAGTGTGACAAGGCATTACCAGACCCAAGCAGAAAAAAGGGGGTTGTAATCGCATGCAGCCGGCAAATGTTTAAATCGTGAAAAAAAAAAAAAAAAAAAGGGAAATAAATGTTAGTGGACACCTGGTGACTGCAATTATTACTGCACATGGACCACACCTGCATTTACAGCAACAGATACCCTCATCTCCCCTCGGGGAAGACCAAGACACCCAATGTGGGAAGAGGTAGAGGAGTCCGTATCATATTGCTGTGAAAGCGGTTAGTGTGAAAATGTCATCTTATGAGCATGCGGGCTAAACTGGGAGGAGCTTATTAGCGGGTTATCAGGTGAAAATTGATGGACGGCCGACGTTGACGAGAATCAAGACAGACGTTCATTTTTCACCCTCCCTCCCCATGTTATGTATGCGTGTTAATTAGATTTTGCCAATCTATGTACGTGCGTTGTCTTCGGTATTTAAGCTATGATTTATATCAGTTGTGTGTATTTTCTATATCCCCCTTGTGTCGGTTTCCTCATTGATCTCGATGGCCCAGTTGGCACATGCGAACAGCAGACAGGGATACAAGAGAGCCAGCCATTAGTCAAACGCAGCCTGCACATTATCCCTGAGCACATGACAACCGCTGCCTTGTCCCAGCACAGAGGCCGGGTTGTAAGTGAACTCACTACGTCATGATGGGGGAGAGGAGGAAGAGAAGAGCGCAGGGAGGGACGTTAGCATAATCGTTTGCAGAGCAAATAGACTGCATGTGAGTCATTATGGGTGGGGCCTCCTTTTGACGGACTAGTAATTCAGTGTGGTTTCCAGGAGGGGCATCCTGGCGACCCAGAGATCCAAGGGCACCAAGTGTGTGGTGTCGTGATAATTCTTTCTGGCTTGGTCACTTACTCATTTGGTCGATCGTTAATAAAAAACAAAATACTTAAAAAAATGTATCAAACCCGCTTAAAACTGCTTGAGCAATAAACTTATATTTCTCTAGAATTAAAACAGTAAATGTTCGTAGCCGTGAAGATACTAAGATAGATAATTGAAGTGAGGCTCCATCATGGTTCTTGTCTGTGACCATGGTGAAAGTGATTTTTTTCTTATCAAACTCCTCTCCTGTTGCAATTACAACTGTCTGTATTATATGGCAGCCTGGTGAGCAGCAGGCTGAGGAATATGCTGCAAACACTGGCCTACACCAGCCTATAGCATGGTGACTGCCAGTCGCAATAACAACCAATTAGAGTCAGGATTCATGAACAAATGGAGCATTCCCAGAAGCCCCCCCCCCCCCCCCCCCCCCCAGCTTTAGGCTGAGCTCATTGTTGACCATGAAAGGAGGTAATTTAAGCCAATTGAATGACTACGCAATGCCTCACTCTGCATGTGGGCAGTGCAAACATTGTGAGATACGGGAAAAGAAAAAATTATTTATATACTCATTTATCAGCTATTTTAACCTCAGGTTAAAGATATGCAGAGATTTGTTCAGGTGCGCCGCGTTGTACTGGGGGTAGCTGTGGTACAACTTAAGCTGTCAGAGAGCAGCTGGCGTCCCTGGCACTTGAAATATTTTGCCACACAGGTGTTTGACAGAGCAATGATTTGCACTTCATCATACAGGGCTTTGAGACAGGCAGACAGAGTCCTGCAAAGGTTCAGTTTTCCAAAATTCAGCTGAGCAGAGAAACAACTGTGTGCAAGACGGCAGAAAAACAGGGGGCTTACCACTACCATGTTATTGAATGCTTGTCAGCACAGTCATGCTGTTTTTGCAGTGCTTTCCTGTCTAGGAAATGACTAAAGCCATATTGGGCCGTGGCTCATCCCCGGAGCCCTGCGACAGCCCGTGTGGGCATCAAGGGAGATTGCTGGACAGCCAGTTCCTTTTGGGAAAGTTATTGTTACAGATGACCCGAGCACCAGTAAGTAACAATAGTACTATTAGGGCCAAGGCAAATGGTTCAAACGCAAGTCTGGGTGAAGGAACAACCGTGTTGGGAAAGGGTTTTCCACTCAAGTCAGTAATTGAAGAGTTGCACCGAGGGCTGACAATGCCGCTACAGTGCTGTGTCAGCACCATAAAAACTGTGTTGTGTACAGTATTTACAGTGCTTTCTATATTTTACTCCCCCCCCCCAGCGTTGCACAATGCAGCATGTCTCGCCATGTCTCAAACGTCCCCACATTGGGATGAATAAAAGAGTGCTTTCACTGCAATCCAAGGGCCACACCATGCGAGTGGCGATAGAATGGCAGAGACGGGCACAGAGGCAGAGACGGGCACTGGCTAAAAGCATGCAGCTGCAGAACACGAGGCATTAACAAGGGGGGGCACTGCGCTCAAGCTAGCTAGTCACCAAGTCAGTATTGAAGAAGCAAGACTGAGGGAGCAACGTAAGCTCCAGCACGGGCTTTTGGATGTAGAATGGAATTTAATCTCATCTCCTGCGAACCTTGTACTTTTCCACTCAGGTTATAGGAGAAGGACCCATGACAGCGGTTTGTGCCATGGAATACACAACTAGTTTACCATTTGGTCATTTTAATGATTGGACATTAGCTTCAGTAGCATAATATGGTTTAGGGGAAAGGATTAAGAGCTCAGTATTGTCCTCCGTTAACTTCTGCTCTAAAACGTCTCCAAAGAGCAGATTCCTCTTAGTTTTTGTTTGTTACATATGTAAAAGAAAATGTTTCCTGCATTACCATATACATATATATTTATAGTGCATATGTTTTAAAACCAGAGAGATAAAACTCCCACAAACTGACCTGTGAAACTTGCACAGGAACAGCATCACTGAGCAGTGGCTTTCTGCTGCTTCCTGTCTGTTAAACCACAGTTAGAAGAAAATGTCTTCCTCTGTGTAAGAGCGGAAAGTTCTGAACTCCCCCTCCTTCCTTCTCTAACAACACGATGTTACTCCAGTCGATACGAGGGTTGTGACACAGGTAGCATTTCCAAGACCAATTATACACGTTCTCAGAAATAAATCCACGAGTGTCGGGAAAGATGTAATGATTGTGACGGCCAAATCAGCGAAGGTGAAGCCGTCACATGTTCCTCAAACCCGTTTCTTCTGGCCTCCAAACACAGGCTTTTTAATGACAACAGTGCTCTCAAAGCCAAGGCTACAATTTAAAGACATCTCTCCCCCCAGTAAGCACGCAAACACATTACTAACACCCACCCATTCACACGCGCACACAACCCTTAGTGGGCCCCATGAGTCAGTTTTACTGAAACTACAATGTTCCTGTCCCACGGTTTTCACTTGTAGGTCAGAAGATGAGTATATAAGTGTGAG